AAGATGTGGAATCAATCTAAGTACCCTACAACAGAGGAGTGGCTAAAGAAAATGTCACATTCCTATTCACTCAGACACACACATGCATATGAACAAACACACACACAGAGAGAGAGAGAGAGAGAGAGAGAGAGAGAGAGAGAGAGAGAGAGAGAGAATATCATTCCTGGGCTTGTTAACCAGAATTCCATGGAATAAGGATTACCCTAGGGTCTGCCTGATGTGCCAACAGACCAAAAGTTGGTGAACTATCTCAGTGTGTTCATCTTTTTACCCAGCAGGAGGCCGTTCTATTAGATCCTAAGGCTGGACAATATCCCCGACTGCTGCCACATATCAGTGTGTGAGTGGGCAGTGTGTGGGTGAGGAGGGGAAAGGGGGGCAGGAGAATGAGAATATATAGATTTTATTTGGGAATATTTTTAAATGAGTAGGACCTATAAATCCAGGTAAATTAACCTCCATGAATGAGAGAGAACTGTAGACTTAATTTTGTTAATATGACCACTGCTCAAAAATTTCTAAAGACCGTATTTTCCAAATGGTGTCAGTATCCTTTTTCAGACCAATCAAGAAGATCCATTTCATCAATTTCTTTTTAAAATCTGTAATTCCAAGACTGAATTACTGCAAATTAATTTTAGCTGTTTCTAATAATTACGCCCACTCTTTTAGGATAGTCTCATACTTTTTTCCACTTCTATTCATTTTACCTAAGGAGTGAAGGGAGGATAGACTAATTTTTCTGCTATTTGAACTATTACTAGATTATTTTTAAGGCCCAAAACTTGCCACTCACCATCTCTGAAGGCTTTCAAGAGATGCCACAGGGGCGAGGGAGGTAGCTGGATTGGCAGTGCCCTTGCTCAGCATGCACAATAAATCCCTGGCACCACCAGAAGGGGTCCCCCAGTACCATACAAGATCTGACCACAATTCCCAAAGAAAGGGTCCAGAAGTATTAAAGCTCATGAACTTAGCACAGGCCTAGGTGTGCAACCTCCAGAGAGCCTTCCACAGTCAAAGTTCTCTCGTGTGTTAAACAGCCGTCAGTGCACACACAGTCTGCAAGTCTGCAGTGATCATGGTAAATGTACATCCAGAGAATATTTTAAACTTCTGTGAAGTTATAAAACCCTAGAAACAAATGGAATGGGAAGAAAAGCACAAAATCCAGCTATTCCTTCAGTCTTCCAGAGCATTCAACATTGCCCTAACAATTCTGACCCATATCCTTCTTCCCAATCTGCCCAGTGCTCAGAAAAACAGCTGTTTCTTCCTCAATAATACTCTTTTTCTTCGGGGCTTTACCACATAGTACCTCTCTGAAAGAGACTTGCAAGTCAACATGTTAATTAGCAAAAGCAAGAACCCATGTGAACCCCAGCACTAACAAGAGGCCACAGAGCACCTAGCATACAAGTCTTCCTTTGCACACCTGATTCCTGACTTCTACTCTGTTAAAAGTAACAAAGAAGCTGGATTCAGGTATGTCTGGCCTCTGGCAAAACTCTCTCACCTGGGTGAAAGGGTACTTTTCTGGAATGCCCTTTGATATAGAGGATGGTAAGTCATACAGGGTGTTTATATTGTCTTTTAGTTTAACTACATAATCCCTTAAGATAGGGATGGCCAGGGTATATATATTTCTGCCTACCACTTGGGAGACTTAGGACTATATTGCACGGAATTAGTGCAGAGTTTAAGTTAAATAAGATAAAATGAAGTGTTTGGTTACTTAGGAAGGGCTCAATAAATGGTAGCTTGTAACAGTTCACAGAAGCTTCTCACTGAGCACTCTTGAGGCCTCTATGACCTGCAAAATCTAAAAACACACTTTTGCTCCAGATCATCACTACACATCTTAGGAAAACAACACATAATGTTTGAGAGCAAGAGCCTCAAATCTCATTGACTTTTAAATCCCAGAGGCTATCATACACATGCAACCAATCAGACCACAGCCCACGTGCTCCAGACTGTGATTATTGGCAGAAATGATCACTGTTGGTGGAAACAGATCTTCTTTTAAAAAAGAAAACAGTTCCCCTTCCAGTCAAATGTCACAACTCCATTCATCCAATCAAAAGATCTCCCTATTCAAACTTCCAGAGTCCTTGAATAATTCATGGCAATCCTTTAGCTTCTCTTCAGTGGTCCAAAACCAGAAAAGAATGATTGGTATTCTAAAAATCCTCTATAATTGACTTAAATTTGTTTCCCCAGGCACTCTCTCCTTCAACACATTTTCATCATCCAAGTGATTCCTGGCTTAAAATGAGCCCAGCAAAACAGTGTGTGTGTGTGTGTGTGTGTGCGCGCGCGCATGTGTCTGTGTGTGTGCGTGTGTGTGTGTGCGTGTGTGGTTATGAAGGCGTGCATACAGTGTGCTGTGTGGTATATGCGTTATATATCTATGTGTGCTATGTGGGTGTGTGGTGTGTGTGATGTACACGGGGTATGCACACAAATGTAGATGATGTATCTCTGTGTGGTACATGTGTGTTCTGTAGTGTACTGTGTGTAAGTGATATACTCAGTTGATCAGTGTATGTGCACACATGTGGGATATGCATCTGTGTGTGGTGTATATGGGATGTGTGTGTGTGTGTGAGGAATACAGAGCGTCTGTGTTGTGTGTGTGTGTGTGTGTGCGTGCCCCTGTGTGTGTGAAGGTCTTCACTGCTTCTATGCACATGCCCAGGCACACAGTGCACCATCCCTGTAGGCCATCAACAGTAGGGAAGACGTGGAGAGCACCAAAGATTAGGGCACAGAAAGGCCTTTCCAGCTGGGATAGTAAGAGGTGACTTCTTGGGCAACGCTTAGTCTTGAGGCAGGAGCAAGGCTGAGGATGAGCAGAAAGGACGAGGACAAGAAAGGCAAGCTGGGCACAAAGCAGGGGACTGAGAAGGAACAGTGTCCACCTAGAGAAGAGTCCTCTGGCTAGAGGACCGGGGAGAACGGGAATAGCAAAGCAATGAACTGCTTCATCTTCTTGTCCTTCTTTGGGAGCAGGCAAGAGAAACATTTTCATAACTGCAACCTGTACAGTTATCTTCAAAACTTTTCCCATGAAATAAGACCTTCTAGGGTAGGTTCGGAAGAAGACTAGCCACTGGCCACCGAACAAGGCTCTTTGTTCAGCATCAGGGGCCTCCTTGGCCTCCCAAGCAGGACAGTTTCCTGAAGCACCTAAGATGGGAAAGCAGGCAGCTGTTGGCATGTGAGCACCATGCACTCCACCTGGTTTTGGTCCTCCGTGGCAGGAAGCCTGCACCATGGAGATGATACCCAGAGGTTCCTCTGAGCAGAAAGGAAAACCCAAGGTGTCCGCAGCCATCTTCATCAGTGTGCTGAAGGGCACAAAGTGAGGCACGGGGCTAAGAGACGCCCTTCCCAGCATGAGAGCCTGAACAGAGGGACAGGGCCTTGTTCCCCGCTGCAGCCAGCACCCTACGTAACCTAGGGACTTTGTGGACAAGTCTACAGCCCTTGCATGGTGCTGCCTGCCATGCTTAGCACTAACACTGTCCAGTGAGTCACATTTTTACTGAAAATCCACCTTAAATGCTCCATCATGAGAAGCTAATCTTTCCAATTTTATGTAGGCTTATCTGTTTGTTCCCCTCAAGAGAAGGCAATGGAACCACCACTGGATGTCAGGCCCAAAACGGAGGGATTAAAAAGAAAAATAGCTTAAAAATGTGACAGCTCTGTCCACTTGGGGAGTTAACATCCCCTTCTGAAAGTCTTTGAAGGATCACAATGTGTAATTCCACATACATAAAATCCTCCTTTTAGAGGATGCAAACCCTGCAGAGGTTTTTTAACTTAATTGCATTCCCAGGTCCTGGATTTCTTGGTCTCCTGCAGTCTCTATAACTTCAGCTTAGGGCTCCTCTTTTGCTCTGCGTCCCTCTTAAAACACCCCCTACCTTTCTCCAATCTATAATTACCCTACAAAGAACAGGATTCAGCAAGGGGGCTGGTGGCAAAAGGAAAGTTTAGGGGTTGGCATGTGTATGTGTGTGTGCATGTCTGTGCGCATGTATGTGTGCATGTGAAAGTCTTTGCAGCCACACAAACCTTTTCCAACTGCATGCATAAGGGTGTGATCTTCAAAAGACACAATAAAGAAAAGCAATTTCAAATTATTACTATTTCAAATATTTCATGGAGTATTTTCTCCATTTTATGGAGTATTAATGGAGTTTCTCTTCCCTGACAGCCACTATTCCATGCACAAGAAATGTTAAGGGCCAACCATTTGAAACTAACAAAGATGCACAGACAATATAATTTAGCCACCTGCAGATGAGAGCTGTATAGAATCCAGTTTCCTCCAAGTTCCCAGGAGTCCTCTCTCTGGATGGGTGAGTAGAGTTCACATCACCAGGCACTGAGTAATAAGAGCCTCTAATTTAGCAAAACGTCTCCCACGTTAGTATTCAATGGTTGGCATTGCTCTTTCCAATAACCCTACACCTATCCATTCAACCCCTAAAAATATTATTCTGGGGAGAATTTTCTCTTTTGACTCTTATATTTTAAATTTCTGACATTCATCAAATACCTTATAGTTCCTAAAGATGAATTAATCCCAAAGCTTAAAAAATCATTCTTATAAGCATTCCCAGAGTTTGGGAGATTTTAAATATCGAGGATTTGTTTTCTTTTTTGTACTGTACACAGTTTGGTAATTTCTCCAGAACCTCAGAACTGATGGATTCCCTTACAAGATGCCACCTCCTTCCTCTCCGCCTTAAGACTTTGGAAAACATGCCCTGTTCACAGCTACTGGAAATGTGTAACTGCGACTTTTCCAGAATCTAAAGGTCAAGAGTCTGGGGCCCAGAAAGACAGAGGAAGGCAAAGGGCCAAGGTGGACACAGAGATGCCATAGCCCGTGTTTCCCAGATGTACTGCCGAGGAGTAGGAGATGCAGACACATGGGCCTGGACCCGATGTCAGGAACGGTCCTGCTTGGAAGAGATGGCAAATAAACCTAATTTCTTTAATCTGCACAGTTTCTTCTGAACCACTTTGTCTTCAGCAAAATGAGTGAAAGAGAGTCAACGCCACAGAAATGAGATCCCCCAGTGTCACACCCCACGCTGGAAATCAGTGCGCATGGAACATCAGAGCCCTGAGGATTTTAGCCTCATGCCTTTGAAATCACCTCTTCAATAGGAATGATTCATAAGCTAAACCTATTCTACAGCAGCTAGCTCAGTGATATTCCCAGGAGGGATTCGCAAATGAAAAAAACCTTAGCTTGAAGGATTAAGGATTCATCTTACCCTGCAACTTGTAAGCTCAATTCTCCAAACTCGCCACGCAGTTTCTTATAATCACCACTCTCTACTTACTCTCCTTCCTTGTAAGGTGGGCCCAGCTTTCAGAAGAATTATCTAGCCCCAATGCCTGATAGGGGTCCCTGGTAAAAAGCAGGAACAAAAGCAGTCAAGGGGGCCAATTTTGTCTGACACAGGGCTTGTTTGGAAGACAGCCTGAAGCCACAGGGCTCCAGAGGTATAGTGTGAGCTGAAGACACACGCTCAAATGTCTATGGAAGTCACAGATGGAAGTTAACGAGCAAGGAACCTCAGCGTAAGTTCGTATTCACTCTCTGTGTGTCTAAAGAAAGCTCTTCAGTCCACTGAAAAGCCCAGCCCCACACACATGGGGTAGTCAGGGCTACCATGCTGGTACTATTTCAAATATTTTATGGAGTTTCTCTTCCCTGACAGCCACTATTCCATGCACAAGAAATGTTAAGGGCCAAGGCTGTAGCTCAATGGTTGACCACTTGCTTAGCATGTGTGAAGCCCTGGGTTTGATCCCTAGCAGCAATAAACAAACAAATAAACAAAACATTAAGGAATGTTAGAAAGGGAAAGGTGAACAAAACTGTTAAGATTCTTGCTCTAAGAAAGCCTGCATTTTACTTTATGGTGAAATTCACTCAGTGATGCTAGATCTTCAGTATGTTTAATCTAAGATGGAAAAACTAGAATTGTGTGAAATCATCCTATTTTAAACATTGCATGATTTAAAAAAATAAAAATAAAAAAATAAAAAACACTATGCAAGCCAAACAAAAGTATGTCTGTGGGCTGAATTTGATCCATAAACCAACTTCTTTCAATCTCTGACCTACAGTTCTTTATTCATTCTAAAGAGGCCCACTCCCTAGAGGCCCTTTCCAGGGTAAATGGCTTTTACAACAGGCTCTCTCGGTTATGCTGTGCTCCAGTTCATAAGACATAAGGACAGTCTCACCGCTGTTCACTCTAATTTCTTTTTCTGGCTTTTTTTTTTCTGGTACTAGAGATCAAACCCAGGGCCTCATGCCTGGTAGACAACCACTCTACCACTGAGCTACACCCTAGCCTGATAATTATTATCAAATAGAATTTATTGTTACACTTTGATAAGAGTTTTTAACAACAGATATTTAAAAATCTGAACTCTTGCTGGGTGCAGTGGCCCACATCTGTAATCCTAGCACTTGGAAGGATGAGGAAGGACAATTCTGAACTCAAAGACAACCTGGACTACATAGCAAGACTCTATGTCAAAAAAAACCAAAAAAAACCCTGAAATTAAAAAAACAGTGTAGTGTTGCACACCTGTAATACCAGCATTGAGGAGCTGAGGCAGGAGGATCATCATGAGTTTAAGGGCTACATAGTGAGTTCAAGGCCAACCTGAATTACATAGGAAGACTCTGTCTCAAACAACCAAATTAATAATAGTAATAATAAATTGAATTTAATTAAATAGTAAACTATTGAGACTTTACAATTCACCTATTTTAAAGCTTCTCAAAGACATAATTAATTGGCCAGACACGACATCTCCACTGTCCAGTAAAGAAGCCATGTGCACCTCTAGAAGCACTCACTGCACTCAGTCATTTCAGAGACGGACATTACAGTGCACTGCAATCTTACCTCCATGGTGTGGGTCTTTCCTGATGAGGTTTGTCCATATGCAAAAATTGTCCCATTATAACCTTCAAGGACATCTGTGTGCAAAAAGAATTTTTTAATTAAAATTAATTCATTACTTGAAATTATGCTGGAGTTATTGCATATTTTAAAATTACAGCTTCCAAGTGGCCGCCTGTTTCACACAAATGATACATGTGAACTCTATGTGTATTTTAAGTAGAACTGTGAGGTAAGAACAGAAATGAGTCCCTCCACCATTTCACAAAGAGAAAAAAAAAAAATGAAGTCACATTTCTACAGAATGTGCTAGCGAAGAAAGAAGCAAATACACTTTCTTTCAGTCACACCAAAGTTAAAGCAGGGACATCATCCAGAAAACCTTTCCAGTAGGATACTTAAGTCTTCTATACACACTGATCGCCTGAGAAAAGTTGAGGGGGATAAAACATTCCCCAAGCTCTCAGTTTCTGGAGTGAGGTTAAACTAGAATGTCTTGCCTGACGATTTGAGTGGGGTCAGCCTAAACCTGGCCCAGGCCAGCCCTTTGGGGAGCTCTCATGGGAGCCCCAACACGGCTCCCTCAGAACAGACACAACCAGAACAGAGGAGGGAAGGGGCCCCACGCTGCAAACTGAGCCCCAAGGTGACAATCAAATCATCTCGGAAACCAGCAGAGCCCTGACTTAAATTGAATGCCTCTGTATTTCAGTGTCAGTGCTAGCCAGGTGGCCCAGGCCCATCGGCATCAGGAATTTCTTTTAATTATACAACAAGCACACTGTGCAAAACCACATGCAGGGCATCCCGGTTTCTGTTTCACACAGGGCTAAGGGAAAGCATCCAGAGGGGGCTGCTTTCTGCTGCAGAACTGAAGATTATTTGTGGGAATTCTTTCAAAGCAGCAGAGGTGATTAAAATATACTCCCTCCTGCCTTCCCTCTTCATTCACACAAGCATCATGGAAATGGAAACGGAAACAATGCATAATTAATATGCCTGACCTGGCATCCCGCACCAGAGCAGAAAGTCTTACTGGAAGAAGAGCCACACACAGAGCACCCTCTCTAGGATCATGTGAGAAGAGCGATCCAGGCAATCGGCTCATCCGTCGATTTCAGGTTTGGGGTGGTAGAAGGAGAAGGCCTCTGAATTTTAATATGCTGGGGTTTTTTCTATTTTGCTTTGCTGGGTTCTCTAAACTGTTTAAATATACATTTTATTGATCTGAGGTTGCTGGAGTGTGAACTGGGATCAGAAAAGAAAGAGGGTTTTCCTTTTTTGTGTTTTTAATCCTAGCTGCCCTAACAGGTTGCATCAAGTTATCTTGAGGGAGGGAGGGCCAGAGGGTGGGAGGAAGAGGGAGAGAATATTCACACATATCAGACTCTTCTGGAAACATTTTCCCTGGTAACAGCAGAAAGCAAAAACTTGCAGAAGTCAATGTCAGGGTTAGAGGTTCATGCTTCAGTTTTCATGAAAATGCCAACTTGTTTAGAGAAAAGATTTCTCGGGCCTGAAGACGTGGCCAGAGCAGAGTGAGCAGAGCCTCTATACTACCACGCAGATGATACGCTCTGAGGGACCCAAAGAAGTGCCATTCTTTGGTTGGGCTTTTAACATTCTATAATTATAACACCAACAACTCTAGACGACTGAGATGCTGGCCATAAGCACAATGTTAAACCTCCTAAACCTTCTATTTGTTAGAAATTAAACATCTCCCCACAAACTATAAAGGCCTTCTTCCTCATCTGTTTAATTTTTTTTGTTGTTTCCCGGTACTGGGGATTGAACCCAAGGTCTTTGCATTGAGCTATAACTGAGCTACATCCCCAGCCCTCTCATTAAGTCACTAAGACTGGGCTAGAATTTGAAACTCTCCTGCTTCAGTATCCTACAGGGCTGGGATTACAGGTGTGCACCACCACATCAAGCTGCTTCTCCATCTTAACTCCTGTTGTATGAAGGGCTCTGGAACCCAGGACCAGGTGTGAGGACAATGTTAAAGATGCCAAGACTGTCTGGCCGCATGACCCCCACTGTTCACCCTACAAGTGCTCATGCCCCCTAGAGGCCCCAGGGAGGTGGCTGTGAGCAACCTGCCACACTGTAAAGGACACAGTGCAGAGCCCAGGTCTTGCTGACGGGGGACTCCAGGCCACACTTCATCCTCTGCCAAGAACCAAGGAGGCCAGGTATCTGAACGAGGCCACCTCTCGGTCTACTCCCACCAAGTGCAACACACAATCCTACTAACTGCTCGCTGGCTGCTGCTCCCAAAACCCCTCGGTCCCAGCTCAGTGGTGGCACTGCTTACTTAGGGATAAAGCGCCAATGAATGGAGAATCCACTTCTCACTAGAATTTCAACAGAGAGCACAACTGCTTGCTTACTTTCTTTTGAAATTTCTTTCTCAAAAAAAGAGAACAATATAAAACCTCATTAGAACAAACTCCGGTTGGCCTTTAAAGGATTTACAATCATGTTACAATTGATACATCGTTGGAGAACGTCTCTCACATTCAAGGTTGCACAGAGTTTTGCTGCCCCTTATCTACTCAACTCTGAACTAGAAGATAACTAAAAAAGAAAAGATACAGCTCTTTCAACCCAAGGTTCTCTATTTCCTTCCAACTCCAGGTTCTGAGCACTTGTTTGTACGGTCTGTTTCATTTTTAGTGAGAGGAGAGACAGGTGAAGTCGCCCAGGGGCTGACAGGAGGCTGGGGCAGAATCTGCCGGGGAGCAGGTGAGCCAGGGGCCTATGCCCAGCACTGTGTGGAGCCACGCGCCTCCCCACAGAAAGGACTTTCATCACCCCGAAAGCCAGGCAGCTCCTGGGCCCAAGGAGTGCATTTGTTTCAGTCTCTGGCGAAACAGAATGACTATTTCTACACGACAGCCACACTGCCAGGCAGAACTTTCTTTGGAGTCTGGTGCGATGTGATCTAATCTCACACCACACACCCTGCTTTACCCCACAAACCTAGCACACATCGATCCAGCAGCCAGGCAAAGCCCAGAGAGCTTTCTCTGCAGATGCCGAGCACTCCCTCACCTCCCAAGGGAGTAGGGAAAACAGAGGATACTTGAAAATCCTCGATACCTCCTGCCGCACAGTTCAGAAGCCTGGGGTGCATGCTAGGTTCTGCGGCTTCTGAATCCACATTAGTGTTTCTGAGGTGGCTGCTGCAGCTTCCTACCACTTCTTTAGGCAAAACAGTAGCCTGTTAAGAGAACCAGGATATCTGACAACAGGGGCTGACAGGCCACCCTCAGCTTGGAACCTAAGCCCCTTGCCAGCCAACCAAACTGCTCCAGTTGTCGATGGCAGCAGAACACAGAGGCAATCCATCCATCTGGCGAAGAAGGCTGCCCACAGCCAGCCTGAGATCAGCCACTGTGCCCTGGCCAAGACACACTATGCTCCTGAGCACCCACACCTCAGGATGGGCAGGCTGCCAGGGCCACAGGTCTCTGGAACCACAGCAGCCATTCTTTCCCCGCTGCTCTCATGCACGCCTTTTCCTATCCTTGCCTTTTTTCAGTGCTTTCATATGGCCTGATAGAAAAGAAACAAGCCATAAAATAATTACTTTATGATTGTTTTTAAATGCTCATGTGGGTCCACCAGGAAGTAGGGCAGGATGGTTCTGAAGAATTAAGTTAGTCAGACAAGCCACGCTCAAGTCCAGCCCCACACCCTGAGCAGACTTGGCCAGGTCACTCCACCTCTCTGGGTCTCCGAGTCCTCTTTAGTTTAGTGGTATTAATAATGCTCACACCTCATAAAGTTAGGAGGTAAGATGCAATTAGACATAAAGTACATAGGGTGCACATGATAAATAATAGCTTAAAAGTATATGTCTTCTTAGGAGTCCTATAATAATAATAAAATAGATCTGAGTATGTCATCCAAATTTAAAACTTTCGAGTCCACCATAGGACAAGGTTCAAGGATTTCCACCAAACTCGGATCCAGCCTAAGTTCTGCAGCCTCAACCACCATCATGCTGCTCTGCAACCTGTGCCACTCTGAGCTGCTCGGGAATGTCACATACTTTGCATCTGTATGCTCTTGCTATTCTCTCTGCTTGTACAGCCCTGCTACATTCTACACTGCTCCATCCTGAGAAGCCTTCCTTAATTCTCTACGCCCTCTTCCCATCACCAAAAATCACTGAAATTCAGTATAAAGTGGCATTCTTCTGTGCCCCCCTGGTATTTTGCACACACCCATCTTAAAGCACATAATGCCTATGTGTATGATAATTATGTATGCATCTGCCCTTTCCCTATACTCAAAAGTTCTCTGCAAACAGTCTTATGTCTCTTGGTGACTCCAGTTCCTGGCAGTGCTACACATGGTTCGTGCTTAATATTACTTGCATAAATAATGAATGAAGTTCAAAAAAATCAGAACACCAGAAACCATCTTCTCTAACATCTGGATAGTCGACCTGTAGTTAATTTGGAAGGCAAATGCTTAAGTGGCTTCTGTAGGCTGGGCTGTGTTTACCAAGACTTCAAGAACAGCATCCAGCAGCCATGCTGTTTAATTCCTGGGCCTTGCTACTTATTGCACTGGTACCCATTAGCCCTACAACCTCTTCTTGAAGAAGTGGAGAATTCATGTGTTTTCAAGCAACATTTTGAAAACATACCAAGAAGGGAGCTGGGAGATGCCAGGACTCTAAATCTGAAATATTAAAAAGCCCAGTGAAGTTGTAAAGAACAAAAAGCCAATCAATTAAAGGCGGTCTTCCGTATCCTCAAAATTATTAGGGGTTCAGATAGACTGGGAAAGGAAGTTCACCAGTCCATCACATTGCCACGAGTCAGAGGACTGTGATAACCTTCAGAATTAATTAATTATACTGTGTGGACCTGGGCTCGGGCGTGGGAATGGGAGTGGCGGGCGGGCTGCGCGGCGTCCGCGGGACTCGCTCTCGCCGCCGCACGCCACTCGGCCCCCAGGGCCGCGTCCCCGAGGCAGGGCTCGCGCTTCTCCCCGCTCAACCCGTGAGTCCGAACCAGACATCCCGCCCCCGCCGTCGTTTGCGGAGCCGTCTGGA